CCCAAGAAGTTAAATCTCACATATAGCTACAAATAAGGGTAATATTAAAAGACAATGCTCAATATATAACGTACTTAGTATAAAGAATACAACCTTAGAGTATAAACAGCGGAAAGACAACTCTGATCTTTAGGCGAAGACTCCACTTCCACAGGGACAACGGACTGGTTGATCACAAGCCTAACTCCTCCAGACTAGCAATCTGGTACACATCCAGGATTTTTATCTAAATAATTAAAAAAAATAAAACAAGCGTAAGTACATGTCATACTCAACAAATATATCATGGGGTTCATGAGGCTCAAAAGGCTGATACTGGTTTAACTGCGATTAGTTTTTAATGAGTCATCTTTTAGCAATTGGGTGGCAACAGGTTTATTCACAAGCCCATATAAACACATGATCAGGTAAACATGAATAATGAATAGCATAAACAGTAATCATTAGTGAGCATCTTTATCATCAATATCATTAGTGTTCATCATCTATTCCATAAGGGTCCAAGGCCGCTCGTGACCGTAAGCACGGCTGATATACCAGTTTTATACTCTGCAGAGGTTGTACACTTTCACTGTGAGTCATAATTTACCCTTTCGCCCGAGGCGACCAACCTCTTGATACACTACCAAGGAAGATCGACTGGGTTCACTATGAAGCCTTTCAAAGGTTCATCTAACAAGTTAGGACCGCTAAGGTTTCTCCATCAATAAGCATGAACCCCCTCCAAGGAGTAACTAACAAAATACCAAGAAACCAAAGTGCACCCTCTTGGCAGGTCGAGATCATACCTGTCGGAGCTCCTCTTGTGCCATAAAGGTAACCACTAACAAGCTAGAAAATGTCCTCATATTGAGCTAAAGCCAGAAACATGTAGCTCTCAAAGCTGTACTATAAGTCCCAGATGTTCGCTTACAGATAAGTCCTTAGGGACAGGAATCTAGAGCACCATAATAACAGTTCAATGCTCTAGCCCCTTGTTTCATGTTGCTAAAAACATCTTTAGAAATAAAAACTTGATTTTCAAATTTTAAAAATAAATAAAATTTGATTTAAAACCGGCCAAGGACTGCGGATACTATTTTGAAGAAAGACAGGGGTTCTTTAGAAAAACTGCAGGGACGGCGGGTTCAAACTTAAAAACTTGCGGGGGCTCTTTTGCAAATAAACCCGGCGAAGGGGTACTGTGAGATCTAGACCGTTGGATTGAGATTGGATGGTGCAGATCAGATGGGAGGGGAAGGAAAACTGCCGGTGTGGCCAGCGGCGAGCTGGGACAGCGGCGCATGGCCGGAATAAGCAGGGGACCTCACTGACGTTCGTCGTTCTACCAATTCAGGGCTTAATCGGCCAAATCAAGTACACATGGAGGAACAGGAGATGACTACGATCTCGGCTATGGGTTCAGAGATGGCATCGAGCAAGCAAAGGTGAGCAGAGGCTTGGGACAGCGGACAGTGGGGCTCTGTAGAGTCCGGCGGCACACAACGAGCAAGAGAGGGAGGAAAAGAGGGAAAACGGAACCGGGACCTTCTCTGGCGCTTGGTGAAGCTCGGCAAGAGGCTTACCGTGGCGGTGACGCGACGAATCGGTGGCGCGGCGTGCTTCGGTGAGACTTGATGGAGGCGGCGGGCGCAAGGCTCTGTATTTATGGGGGAGAAAAGGCGTGGGGCGCACGCCACACGGGCGGTGTCGGGGCGGACACGAACTCCCGATGGCGGTTGTGTCCAGCGTGGAGACGAGCTGGAGGAAGAAGAAGGCGACACTGACACATGGGGCCCGGGTGGCAGCGACACAGGGCCGGTGAGTCAGAGGGAGAGAGGAGAAAGGGGGCGTGACCAACGCGGATTGCTGGCTGGGTCGGCCTTCTGGGCCTCGTGAGGCGAAGGAGGAGAGGGGAGCAATGCCCGTAGCTTGCTGGGCCGGCCTTGAGAGAGGTGGGGCGCGAGCATGCTGGGCACATGGAGAAAAGCAAGTGGGCCACGCAGGAAGGAACGGGAGAAGGCCAACCTGGCCGCTAGGCTGCACGGGAGAGATTGGGAGGGGAGAGGTTTTCCATTTTCCTATTTCAAAACCAATTTCAAATATAAACCAAATCAAATTTGAATATGGTTTAAAATACACTTTTCAATTCAATATAAAAATGAGAAGTTTTATAAGTTTTCCAAAAATAAACTTTCAACTTTTTAAATTCTTTTATTTTCAAATTTTCTTTTCTTTTATTTCAAAGCCATTTTCAAATTCATTTTCAAAAGCATTTTGAATTTTGGATTCAACCACTCATTGAATATAAATCAAATGCACATCCATGTTGCTACTCCTTATGATGAATTTTAATTTAATGCAAAATATTCTTTTTTCTATATTTCATGTGCATAAAAATTCATAAATTAATCATTTTAAACCTATTTTCAAAATTGAAATTTTTAGTGTGTTACAAGGAGTTAATTTGAAACTCTAGTGCTTATTGTATATTTTGTTCAAACTTTTGATTTATTTTACTAAATAATATTCAAGGTCGTAAGCTACACTTAATTGTTGGAGCGACATAAATAGTCATTTCAACCTACATAATGACACTTAAGATGTTGTACTTGTTATTATGAAAATATAGAGTACTTAAAATTAATTACCGACATTGCTATGCTATAATTTTGCAGTAAAAATCTATAAACTTATTTGAAAAAACAAGCTTACAAATTTTATTGTATTGAAATGTTAATAGAATTTAAAGTAAGTGTCAGTGTCAATGCAATATGGTTTGTTAAGAGATTTTTTTCACCCATGATAAACAACCGACTTGTGAGATCTTGTTGGTGCACTTTAATTCACCACAACCCATATATATTAGGATGAACACTAGTTAGTTTTCAATCCCAATGCACTTTGATATATGTGCACTACTGTACATTGAATTGCAGCTAAACAAGCCCTCAATTTAATATAATTGGGATCTAAACTAGGCATCTCCATACAAATATTTTTTTGAGGAAACTGGAGAAGCGAAATTTATATTGAATTAAAAAGAACATAAGCTTACAAGTGAATTGAGTCATATAGTAAAAAAAACAAAATCTAGAAGGAAAGCAATTAGTTAACTAGATTCCTGGAGTTGTTTAAGTCAAAAATTTTAAACTTTGACCGAATTTATAGAAAATCATCAAGATTTATGATATCAAAGTAGTATCATTAGATGTACCATAGAATATATTTTTCATAATATGCTCATTTTATGGCATAGATGTTGTTATATTTTTTTATAAAACTAGTCAAACTTGGCATGAATTATAGAAATTGATTTATTCGAGTGAGCACAACAGAACAGCAAAGGGGAGGGCGTTTTGCAATATTGGAACACGATTGAAACAAGGGGGCATTTTGCAAATATTCCAGGCCGGCGGCGGCCGGCATGGCTCCAGGCAAGGACACGAGGTCGACGGCTCGGCCGCCGCTAGCCCCGCCACCAAGAATCCGGCCTCGCCTCTATCGGATCCACGCCCCCAGCTTCTGTTCCAGCCTTGCGCGCGGCCGGTCGATGGAGCCCCAACTACTCTGCCACGGCAGCGCCGCGCTGCGAGGGCGGTGCCCACAACCCCGGAGATGGGGACGGAGCGCAGTGGCACTAACCTATAGGATACAGGACGGTAAGGTGGCGCCGCTGCCGGCGAAGCGGCTCTCCTTGGTGTCGCCCCGTCCCCGCAAGGACCGGCGGCCTCCCGGCTCCAGGTCTTCCTTCTTCCATACTCTGCATCGTGTTGTCACTTGTTCTGAACTCTGCATTCTGTTGCAATTAATTTACTCCTCTTCAATTTACTTTGCATAATTTATAATTTTAGATGATAGATCAAAATGATCGCAACACGTTTAGTTTTTGAATAACTTAATTGCACTGCATTTCAAATACCCTTGCAGTGTCGTTACGGAGTCCAGACCAAGTGGCTGGCTGCTTGCCTTCAGTTAGTGTTAGTTGTCATGTATTCCCCGACGATTTCAAACACCTTGAAGATTTTTTCCATGAGGTGGAAGTGGAACCCATAGTATTTTTTGGGACCCTCTAAATTACCATGTCCTATCTGATCATGGTAATGAACTGCACAGTATTGAATAGTCTCGGTTTGTTCTACCTAGAAATATGGTGAATGGTTTATACATACCTTGTTGAAAACACTCATCAAGATGCCACACATCCTCTTCAGATTCTGTGGTTCCAACAGAAGTGTCTTGAAGAGATACCAATATGCGTCTTGAGACAAAAAAGTTCAACAAGAGCATGTGTTATCCGAAGTCTTAGACCAGCTTTAATTCTAATTTGACTGCTGGTTGAAGCACTACTCTGATAAGCAGATTGAAATCTTCTCCATGCACATGCACTCAACAACCCCAACTAGTTCGACAACAACCAGAATTTTTTCTTCAATGGAGACTTGGCGTCATCAATTCGATGTTTTAAAAGGGCGTACCCAATGCAGAGAGCTCCCGCTCTGTGCGGGGTCTGGGGAAGGGTGTCAGTGGCAAGCCTTACTCTCGCCTGTGCAATGCGAGGAGACCGCGACTCGAACCCGGGACCCCGGGACCTTCCGGTCACAGGCGGTAAGACTCTACCACTTGCACCAGGCCCGCCCTTCATCAATTCGATGTTTTATTCTACCTTTATCTCTTAAGGTGCACTGCTTTCCTTTTCTGAAGCCATAATCGTTACACTTGTAGCATGGTTGGTGGGTCACACAGGTCAAAGGAGTTATATAGTGTGTACAGGACAGTCTACCGCTCTCTTTCTCTCTCTCACATAGTGCAAGATCTTCAATTTTCATCGACTAAACCTCACACGTAATTGAATATCATAATCTAGAAGGAAAGCGAAGATTTTGTAGATGTGCTCCACGTTTCTAGCGCAGCTTTGACTGCTGGCAGAAAAAGACATAGAAGTAGGAAAAATGAGCCTCTCCTTAACATGATCAAAACCAAGGAAAAGATCAGACACGGAGGAGGAAGTTAAGGAACCAATGACGGTGCGGCTTTGCTTGACTAAGCAATGGCTCCAGAGTCAAGACAATCAGGGCATCAGGCAAAAGCAAAAGGTGTTCAAAAGGTGAAGCACATGCTGTGTATGAGCAGACCTTTCATATGACTGGACTTCTTTACTAGTAATCTCTCTTCATTCCAATCCACCTTTGTTGTGAACTATAGCACCCAGCTGCTGCTTTTTGCTTCCAGAGCAGAGAGTCCCAGAATGGATATTCTCCTTGCTGCAGTTCTAGGTGAGCTAACAACTAGATCCATAAATTTCTTCATCGGAAAGAGCTTCAAGCCAACTGCACTGGATGTGGAGGATCGCCTCTGCAGGATCCTGCTCCGGGCACAGGTCATCGTCGATGAGGCTATGGGACGGCAGATCACAAGCCAAGCTATGCTCCAGCAGCTGGACATGCTCAGAGAAGCGATGTACCGAGGTTATTACATCCTTGACACCTTCAGATACCAATATCGCAACAAAGAGGAGGCCAGAGGTCAGGTTCTGAGTCACTCTTTTTTTGTGTCCAAAGTAAATACACTACAGGGTTTGTGTTCATCCAGTAGAAAGAAAGAGATTTTTGAGCAGATGCAGAAATCGCTTGATCATTTAAGCTCTATGATCCTTGATGTGCAAGAGCTAGTAATATTCATGATGAGTTATCCTTGCATATATCACCAGCCTTATAGCATGCATCTCCTACTCGGTAATTGCATGTTTGGCCGTCAAATGGAAACTGAAGTCGTTGTCAACTTCCTGTTGCACACGCGACCTCATGCATCTGAAAAATTGGAGGTCCTGCCAATTGTAGGTCCCTATAAAGTAGGCAAGAGCACTCTTGTTGCTCATGTCTGCAAGGATGAAAGAGTCCGTAATCATTTCTCTCAAATATTGTTCTTGCGGGATCATGATTTTACAGGTTATGATCTGGCTAAGTTTAGAGAAGAATATGAAATGGAACATCGAAGTCTAGTGTCAAATTCGAACAAAGATGGAAGATTGCTAATCGTTCTTGAGTTAGTTGACGATCTCAATGAAGATGCATGGAGTAGGTTATATTCTGCTTCTATACATCATTTGTCAAGCGGTAGTAAAATCATAGTCACAAGCCAATCTGACAAGATCATGAAGTTTGGGACAACTCAGGCACTACGTATGAAGTTTGTGTCCCATGAAGCTTACTGGTATTTCTTCAAGACACTCGCATTTGGTAGCATGGATCCCAAGATGCACCCAAGACTTTCACACCTGGCCATGGAGATAGCAAAAATGCTTAATCCATGTTTCATTGGTGCAAAAATGACTGCTTGTCTTCTGAGGGACAACTTTGACATCCACTTGTGGTACAAGGTTCTGGGCTTCTTGAGAGTGCAAATGAAGAAAAATTTATTAAAATTTGGTGGACGTCCATTTGATCTTGTAAACCAGAAAAGGCCTGCATATATTGGGAGAATGGCTACACCTTCTGAAGATGCCGTGCTTTATGACGAGCACCAATGCTCTTCGCAAGAGGAGATTCCAAAGATAAGTGTTCAAGATGTCGTGTATGGAAGCGTTAAAGCTCATGGGAAATTCAAGGTCCTAGGATGGAGGTCTCAGATACCGCCCTACCATAACTATATCTTTACTTGCGAGATTCGAGAGCTAAAAACCAGAGCTCCAAAGAGAAAGCGTTCTATGAAACATTGAGTCACACTTCACTAAATATCCTATTGTTAAGCTTATGTAGGAATATATGTGAATACGTTTTGATATGGTGCCAAAAGTGAAGTCATTGGGGTTATTGCATTTTACAGGTTACAACGTTATCAAGCTGTACTACTGCATTGTCATGTGTAAAGTGTGTTTGTTGTCAACAGAACAATGATACGTTCTCTCGCGAGAAAAAAGATAGAATAATGAAAGATACTGATACATAGATTTTCATGTCATAGTGAATGTCCACAACTCTCATATTATAACCTTGATTTAAAGTTTATCGGTGCATGGAGCTCAATATACTTACTCTCGCTAGGATCAAGCAGGAGATGGAACTTACGATAGCTACCGAACCAAAGCATCTTGGTCGTTTACAACTGAAAGAGAATGGGGACAAGGTTGCTGGATTTCGGCATTTAGTTGTTTTCTTTTCTGTACAATTCCTAGAGGCTGTATTTGGTGGTGCCAATGTAATGGCTCCCAGCTAATCTGTTGGGGCTGGCGACACAGCGCTCAGCACGCATTGCGCTGCCACAGGCCACATGCCACCCCTGAAACCCCTCCCTCCAGCCTTCTCTGTGTTGGTAGCTGAAGAGCTTGGGCAGTTACAGAACAAGGAGGCAAAACAGAGGAGCTATTCTTTGAAAACAGAGCTGCGCACGTTAGCTTGTTCTCCATCAACCTGTTGAGCTCTTATTCTCTGTTCATTTTTACATTGTATCAGTACACTTGTATTCATAGGCGGATAGACCACTCAACTGACATACATTGGCCTACTATTTCACCGATTATCTACGGAGTAGTTTTATCTAGAAACACATACACACACATTAATACGTTATACTAGTATGCACTCTAGAACTGACATACTAGGCCGTTACACCAGCATTGCACATATTCATGGACTCTGGATAAGTAGAGAAGCTTGTAGATATAGCTTCAGTCTTGGGGAATAAATTAGCGGAACACTCTGCGACCGTAGTGCCAACACGCCAAGAGAGAGTTCCTCTTTGAAAACAGAGCGGCGCACGTTTTGCTTGCTATACATACATTAACCTGTTGACCTTTTCTTCTCTGTTCATTCAGACTATTACCCAACTACATGTGTGTACCCGGAGGGGGGGGGGGGGCAGGCACCCCCCAATGTTCTGTTTAGTCTGCTATATAACCTCATGTTTAGCAACTAAAGATGGTAATTAGTGCATGCAGTTTGCCTCCCCAAACTCCCGTATAGTCTGTGTGGGTGCCTTGGTGGTAAGCGTGTGGCTTTCCTTCACTCCCCTGTCGGGGTCCTGTTCGGCAGGACTGAAAAATAAGCTAAAATATTGTTCCGGTTGATTATTGTGAGAGAAAAATATTGTTCTATCTGAAATCACTGTTTACGTGCACAGTGATTTCGTGAGTGGGCTGGTCAGCCAGCCGAACGGGCCCACATGTGTTTCCACTTGCAATTCTGCCAACTCACGCACTGCCAGCGCTTTGCTTGTCAAACCACCACACCACAGTGGTATATATAGTAACACAAAGGCTATGAATCTAATAATGGATATACAGTTGCATGTATAATTCTATACCTTAGAATTTTTCTTCATTAGATAAATGTACTTTCTGGAATGGATGTGTAGCGCAGTTGCCTTTATTTTACTTGCTGTCATATTTTTTCACTCTTATGATTTCTATTCGACGTGGATATGTTACGACGATAATATTAGCTTTGTCGCACAGCACCTTTAGCTACGGGGAATAGGCGACGAATGCATTTTCGTCGCGCGTGCGTCGTAAACTATGAAACACGACAAAATTTCCACATTCAACGACATAAACATGTCGTCGTGGAAGGTCATACCTCTTGTACGTTATGAATTTCTTTAGGTAGCAAATAATTAAAGATTATTTGATATGACTATGAACTTCTAAATTTTTTGTGGACACCATGCCCCCTATGTTTGAATCCTAGATCCGCCCAGCACACTTCTATTCATAGATTGATGAACCGACATACATTGGCCTACTGTGTATTTCACGAATCCGGGCCAAAAAAATATAATATTTTTTAATTGAGGGGAGGCCCCCACCGGTCAGCCAACCGTGAATTTTTTTCGCGTGAAAATTGTGCACTACACATCTGCCGGGGTTTGAACCCTTGACCTCATGCTCTGGCATTTTCTCCTCTACCACTCCATCCAATACTCACTTATGTCTATAGTTGATTTTCATTGCCCACATATTATCCTAAACCGAGTTTAAATTGATTGTTTGAGGTCTTAAACGAATTCAAATAAAAAGTTGTCAACACAAAGTTGTATAACTTTTTGAGATCTACAACTTTTATTTTGGTAGTTTCTCCATCCAAGGTCATTTACAAAATTTGAATTTCAGATTTGAGAAATCGAAACGTAGTTTTTCTTGACAAGATGATTTCAAATTAAAAAGTTACCAACTACAAATTTTCATAACTTTTTAAGATCTACAACTTTTGTTTTTGCTATTTGACCATCCGAGGTCGTTTAAAAAATTCAAATTTCAAATTTTTGGAAATTCAAATGTAGTTTTCCTTGACAAGATGATTTCAAACAAAAATTTGTCAACTACAAAGTTTCATAACCTTTTGGGATCTACAACTTTTACTTTGGTTGTTTCTCCATCGGTAGTCGTTTGAAAAATCTAAATTTCAAATTTGAGAAATTCAAACGTAGTTTTTCTTAATGAGATGATTTCAAATAAAAAAGTTGTCAACCACAAACTTTCATAACTTTTCGAGATCTCCAACTTTTATTTTGGTCATTTGATCATTTATTCATCCGACATAGTCATAGTAATATTGTTCACAAATTTTACATATCCCTCTTATAGTTTTTGAAACAAATTTTATGAACAATGATACTACCACTTTATTGGATGAAGAAATGATCAAAATAAAAATTGTATATCTTGATAAGTTCTACATCTTTTATGTTCATGACTTTTTCATCTGAAATCATTTAATATTTCAAAATAACGTTTGAAGTTGTCATTTTTTGAAATTCAAAATTTAAATAGATAAAACATAGTCAAATGAAAAGGTGGACAAAATAATAACTGTAAAAACACAATAAATTGATAGAGCATGATTTTAGAAAAATTTAGGAAAAAAATCATCAAATTTGAAGTTAGTACGAGGGAGAAAGACTAGTTACGAATTTTAGCCGGAGATTAAAAAGTGAAATCAGAGTTCTTCAATAATTTTAAAATTGAATTTGAAATAGCATTTTGAAGAACTAAATGATTTAAAATAAAAAAACTATAAACAACAAAGTTTCATAACTTTTCGAGATCTACAACTTTTATTTTTGGTCATTTCTCCATCCGAGGTCGTTTGAAAAAAAAATTGAATTTTAGTGCTTAATTTTTACTATTCACCATTTATTTGCCCCTACAAATCGGATGTGTAGGGGCGGCTTATTTGGACACCATTTGTAAGTGCGGCTCAATACCTTAAAAAAAGGGGGCGTTGCTAAAAAATCTTTTTGTAGTAGTGTTCAGAGAATTTATACAGTAAATCATAAAGTAAGGTTGTCTCTATTTTCCAGGCGGTGAATGGTATTCTTTTTTCTTTTGACTAAGCTTCCGATACCGCTGTATATTCGAAGACTAGCTGTTAGTACGTAACATCTGTTAGTCAAGTGTACTTGAGTGCGTTGTTAGTCAGGAGTACTTGAGTGGGCTGTTAGTCAGGATTAGACTGCTGACTGATGATTTTGAACAAAGTTATATCTCTGAGTTGTTACTCGGAGACATCATATTCCATTCGAGCTGATTGTGTTCACTTCAGAACCATATTTTTCTCTCTCCACCTGCTGCATCATCTTCCTCAAGAGAGGAGAGAGCCCCCAGATGGATATTTTCCTTTCCGCTGTCCTCGGTGAGATGGCAACCAGATCCATAAATTTCATCATCAACAAATGCTCCATGCTACAAGCACAGGATGTGGATGACCGCCTCCACAAGGTCCTGCTCCAGGCAAGGTCATCATCGACGAGGCCATGGGACGGCAGATCACAAACCATGCTATGCTCCAGAAGCTGGACATGCTGAGAGCATAGTGCCTAGTCAGCTGGCTGAGAAGATATCCACGTCATAAAAATCTGATGTGGCAGAGAGAGAAGAGGAGAGAGAGGGCTGGGCGGGCGCTTCGCTCTTCGCCGGCTGAAACGCAAGAAACGAGGCCAAAAAGCCCGTATCCAGCCTGGTGCCGGCGGCAAAACCGACGCTTCATCCTGCCATGGACCACCTCATGATCCTGTGCGCCGGCCACACCGGCAAGGCTGCACAGCTGCCTGCAAGCCATCCCGTTCAAGTTTACAATGAATCCCAATTGATAATATACACATTCAAGCATCAAATATTAAAATATTACTATATAGCCAACTTAACAGCCCGCTCACTATATGTGTTACTGGCTTAAGTGACGTGGCTTAGTCTTACCGCCGGCTGCTGGCGAAATTATTATCCATGCTCTGAGAGGCTCCATGCACCGAGGCTATTACATGCTCGACAGTTTCAGGTACCAATTTATCAACGGGCAGGATGCTAGAGATCAGATCATGAGTCAATCATTATCTCCCTCCAAAGTAACTTATTTTAAATATTTCTGTCACTTGAAAAGAAAGATACAGATATTTGAACAACTGCAAAAGATGCTTGACAATTTGAGATCCATGATCCTTGATATGGAAGAGGTGGTCATTTTCTTGACCAGCTACCGCCGCTCATACCGCCAGCCTTATAGCATGCATATCCTGCTGGGCAATTGCATGTTTGGTCGTCAGATGGAAGTAGAACTTGCAATCAACTTCCTTTTGCACACACAGCCCCAGGGTCCTCAAGAATTGGAGGTCATGCCGATTGTGGGTCCAGGCAAAGTTGGCAAGAGCACTCTTGTTGCTCATGTTTGCAAGGATGAAAGAGTCCGTGACCGTTTCTTCAAAATCCTGTGGTTGTGTGACCATGAT